TTCAGATAAATCCCAGGAATTCCAACTGAAATCCATGGGAATTTCAGATAAATCCCAGGAATTCCAACTGAAATCCTGCATAAATCCATGGAAATCCATGGAATTCCAACTGAAATCCATGGGAATTTCAGATAAATCCATGGAATTCCAACTGAAATCCATGGAAATTTCAGATAAATCCCGGGAATTCCAACTGAAATCCATGGAAATTTCAGATAAATCCCAGGAATTCCAACTGAAATCCTGCATAAATCCATGGAAATCCAACTGAAATCCATGGGAATCCCACGTAAATCCCAGGAATTCCAACTGAAATCCATGGGAATTTCAGATAAATCCATGGAATTCCAACTGAAATCCGTGGGAATTTCAGATAAATCCCGAGAATTCCAACCGAAATCCGTGGAAATTTCAGATAAATCCTGGGAATTCCAACTGAAATCCATGGGAATTTCAGATAAATCCCAGGAATTCCAACTGAAATCCATGGGAATTTCAGATAAATCCCGGGAATTCGAACTGAAATCCATGGGAATCCCACGTAAATCCCAGGAATTCCAACTGAAATCCATGGGAATTTCAGATAAATCCTGGGAATTCCAACTGAAATCCAGGGGAATCCCACGTAAATCCCAGGAATTCCAACTGAAGTCCATGGGAATTTCAGATGAATCCTGGGAATTCCAACTGAAATCCATGGAAATTTTAGATAAATCCATGGAAATTCCCCAGAAATCCAGGCCAAATCCACCAGAAATCCATGGGAATGTCGGATAAATCCATGGAAATTCCCCAGAACCCCCCTCAGTGCCCCCACGGAGCCGATCCCGGGATCTGGGGGGGGTTTCCCGCCCGGAATTCCCAGGAAAAGCCCTGAATGCTGGGATTTGGTGCAGCTGGCGCTGAAGCACCGGCAGGGCAAGAACCACAAGATGAGAATCATCGCCTTCGTCGGCAGCCCCGTCCTCGACAGCGACAAGGACGTGAGCGGGAACACAACGGCGGGAAAAGGGCGGGAAAACGGCGGGAAAAGGGCGGGAAAACGGCGGGAAAAGGGCGGGATAACGGCGGGAAAAGGGCGGGAAATGAGCGGGAAAACGGCGGGATCATGGGAAAACAGCGGGAAAACGGCGGGAAAATGGCGGGAAAATGGCGGGAAAATGGCGGGAAAACGGCGGGAAAATGGCGGGAAAACGGCGGGAAAACGGCGGGAAAACAACGGGATCAGGGGAAAACAACGGGATCAGGGGAAAAGAGTGGGAAAACAGCAGGAAAACAGCGGGAAAATGGCGGGAAAACCGGGAAAACAGTGGGAAAACAACGGGAAAACAACGGGAAAACAACGGGAAAACAGCGGGATCAGGGGATAACAACGGGATCAGGGGAAAACAACGGGATCACAGGAAAACAGCGGGATCAGGGGACTGGGATAACGGGATCGGGTCTGGGATAATGGGATCAGGACTGGGATAATGGGATCAGGTCCGGGATAATGGGATCAGGACTGGGATAACGGGACCGGGTCCGGGATAATGGGATCAGGTCTGGGATTGGCTCTGGGGAATGTGGGATCGGCTCTGGGATCTGCCCCAGGACTGGCTGGGTCACAGGTGGGGATCCCTGGGGTGGATCCCTGGGCTGGATCCCTGGGATGGATCCCAGAGCCGATCCCTGGGGTGGATCCCTGGGGTGGATCCCTGGGATGGATCCCTGGGCCGGATCCCTGGGATGGATCCCTGGGCCGGATCCCTCGGAGCTGAGGCAGCAGATTCAGGATCAAATCCTGACCTGCTGATCCCAGGGAATTCCTGGAATTCCCGAATTCCTGCGGGATCCCCGGGCATTCCCGGATTCCTGCGGGATCCCCGGGAATTCCCGGATTCCTGCGGGATCCCCGGGAATTCCCGGATTCCTGCGGGATCCCGCTGATCCCCGGGAATTCCCGCTTTTCCAGCTGGTGAAGTTGGCCAAGCGCCTGAAGAAGGAGAAGGTCAACGTGGACATCATCAACTTTGGGGAGGAGGTGAGAATCCCGGGAATTCCCACATTCCAGGGGGGGAATTCCGGGCCTGGAAAATCCCGGGCAGATTTTTGGGATTGGGGTTGGGCCTGGGTGGTTTTGGGGCTTTTTTCCGAGGTGGAAAATCCCAATTCCCAACCTCTCCCTGCATCCCGAACCTTTCCCGCCCTCCATTCCCTGCTGGGAATTCCCTGAGCCGCTCCCAGTTGGATTTGCTGTTCCCAGATCCCTTTCCCAACGCTGCAATTCCCAAAAATCCCAAACCCCTTTCCCAAACCTCTCCGTGATGCTGCCTCGGCCTCTCCCAACATTCCCAAATCCCGGGTTTCCCTCTCCCAGCATTCCCAAATCCTGATTTTCCCTCTCCCAACATTCCCAAATCCCGATTTTCCCTCTCCCAACATTCCCAAATTCCATTTTTCCCTCTCCCAGCATTCCCAAATCCCGTTTTTCCCTCCCCCAACATTCCCAAATCCCGTTTTTCTGTCTCCCAGCATTCCCAAATCCCATTTTTCCCTGTCCCAACATTCCCAAATCCCATTTTTTCCTCTTCTCCATTCCCAAATCCCATTTCTCTTTTTCCCAACATTCTCAAATCCCATTATTCCTCTCCTGCATTCCCAAATCCTGTTTCTTCCTCTCCCAGCATTCCCAAATCCCATTTTTCCCTCTCCCAACATTCCCAAATCCCATTTTTTTTCACTCCCAACATTCCCAAATCCCGGGTTTCCCTCTCCCAACATTCCCAAACCCCGGTTTTCCCTCTCCTCCATTCCCAAATCCCGTTTTTCCCTCTCCCAACATTCCCAAATCCCGTTTTTCCCTCTCCCAACATTCCCAAATCCCGTTTTTCCCTCTCCCAACATTCCCAAATCCCGTTTTTCTGTCTCCCAACATTCCCAAATCCCGTTTTTCCCTCTCCTCCATTCCCAAATCCCGTTTTGCCCTGTCCCAACATTCCCAAATCCCGTTTTTCCCTCTCCTCCATTCCCAAATCCCGTTTTTCCAGGAAGCCAACACGGAGAAGCTGACGGCGTTCATCACGGCTCTCAACGGCAAGGACGGCAGCGGCTCCCACCTGGTGACGGTGCCGCCGGGGCCCAGCCTGGCCGACGCCCTCATCAGCTCCCCGGTGCTGGCCGGCGAGGGCGGCGCCGTGCTCGGCCTCGGAGCCTCCGACTTCGAGTTCGGCGTCGATCCCAGCGCCGATCCCGAGCTCGCGCTGGTACGGGGCCCGGGATTGCCGGGGATCGGCCGGGGATCGGGAATTGGACTCGGGAATTGGAGGAAATCCCAGATTTGGTTCCTCTGTCACTGACCCCGCGTTCCCCAGGGATTGGGAATTTCAGTTGGGAATTGGACCCTGAGGAAATCCCAGATTTGGTTCCTCCATCACCCCTCGTTCCCAAGGATCGGGAATTTCAGTTGGGAATTTCAGTTGGGAATTGGACTTGGAGGAAATCCCAGATTTGGTTCCTCTGTCACCAACCCCTCATTCCCCAGGGATTGGGAATTTCAGTTGGGAATTGGACTCAGGAATTGGAGGAAATCCCAGATTTGGTTCCTCCATCACTGACCCCGCGTTCCCCAGGGATCGAGAATTTCAGTTGGGAATTGGACTCGGGAATTGGAGGAAATCCCAGATTTGGTTCCTCCATCACTGACGCCTCCTTCCCCAGGGATTGGGAATTTCAGTTGGGAATTGGACCCTGAGGAAATCCCAGATTTGGTTCCTCCGTCACCCCTCATTCCCCAGGGATCGAGAATTTCAGTTGGGAATTGGACCCTGGAACCCGGAGGAAATCCCAGATTTGGTTCCTTCATCACTGATCCCTCGTTCCCAAGGATTGGGAATTGCAGTTGGGAATTTCAGTTGGGAATTGGACCCTGAGGAAATCCCAGATTTGGTTCCTCTGTCACTGACTCCTCATTCCCAGGGATTGGGAATTTCAGTTGGGAATTTCAGTTGGGAATTGGACCTTGGGAATTGGAGGTAATCCCAGATTTGGTTCCTCAGTCACCCCTCATTCCCCAGGGATCGGGAATTTCAGTTGGGAATTGGAGGAAATCCCAGATTTGGTTCCTTCATCACTGACCCCGCGTTCCCAAGGATTGGGAATTTCAGTTGGGAATTGGACCCTGAGGAAATCCCAGATTTGGTTCCTCAGTCACTGACTCCTCATTCCCAGGGATTGGGAATTTCAGTTGGGAATTGTGGTTGGGAATTGGAGGAAATCCCAGATTTGGTTCCTCAGTCACCGACCCCGCGTTCCCCAGGGATCGGGAATTTCAGTTGGGAATTGGACTCGGGAATTTCAGTTGGGAATTGGACTCGGAGGAAATCCCAGATTTGGTTCCTCAGTCACCGACCCCTCATTCCCCAGGGATCGGGAATTTCAGTTGGGAATTTCAGTTGGGAATTGGACCCTGAGGAAATCCCAGATTTGGTTCCTTCATCACTGTCCCAGCGTTCCTCAGGGATTGGGAATTTCAGTTGGGAATTTCAGTTGGGAATTTCAGTTGGGAATTGGAGGAAATCCCAGATTTGGTTCCTCCATCACTGACCCCTCCTTCCCCAGGGATTGGGAATTTCAGTTGGGAATTGGACTCGGGAATTGGAGGAAATCCCAGATTTGGTTCCTCCATCACCCCTCGTTCCCAAGGATTGGGAATTTCAGTTGGGAATTGGACCCTGAGGAAATCCCAGATTTGGTTCCTCCATCACCCCTCGTTCCCCGGGGATTGGGAATTTCAGTTGGGAATTGGAGGAAATCCCAGATTTGGTTCCTCAGTCACTGACCCCGCGTTCCCCAGGGATCGGGAATTTCAGTTGGGAATTGGAGGAAATCCCAGATTTGGTTCCTCCATCACCCCTCGTTCCCCAGGGATCGAGAATTTCAGTTGGGAATTCAGAC